CAAAATGTCACACCATTCTGACATTCCGGGATTCAAAAGAAATTTTTTTTCTTTGTAAGAAGCCGCTTCTATACTTTCTTTCATAGTTAATCACGGGAAACAGTGAACTTTAGTTATAAACGCATCCGAATTTCCGACCACTGATAATGATTATAGAAAGTACTATAATTTTACTTGACAACGGTTGTTCATAGATGACTATTGTATAAGTTGATGCAAACTTTAGCAAGTTACTTTGGTCCATGTAACCTTGATGTTAGTATTGACTACAAGTATTCGTAGTACGAGGTTATGGTGCCAATACACTGTAAGAGCGTGAACTACTTGTATACAAAATTCTAGCTGTTGTTCCACAGGGGCGCTGCACAATATGCCATATAAAATTGTCAAACGGTCGCCAGCGACAATCAACGCCGGAGCTCGGTTCTGGTTTGTATTGGCTTTTTTAATTTTGCAATTTGAAAAGGGTTTTAACATAGCTTGTCAGTACTTAAATTGATAAAAATATTGATTTTCGCATTTCGCAACAAGGAACTAGGCTTTGCTATTTGGTAGTTCATAGTCATCTATAAAAACTAACTTACATAGTAAATTGTAATAAGAAATATTCACACTATTTTATGTAAATAATTTAAAAGTTACAATTAAATACGTATTCTCAAAATAATAATAAAAAATATGTGTATAGTAAAAAATTGCATTACATTATTTTACAACGCGAGGAACATTATTACATTTTAAATCATAGGCCAGTATAACTTAAAAATATTCTTAATTCTAAAACACAGTTCAAATTATATTAGTATAAAATTGGTATTAACAATTTCCATACAGGACAATAATTTATTATCATCGAAATTTAATGTCTATCTAATTACCAAATATACATTGTTAGGGTGTTTTCAAACATGTTCAGATGAAAGGTAACAACATTGGTGTGTATTAAATATGAAAATTTTCCATTAAAATCTAAACCGTATTTCTTGTACAAAGTTTTTAAATTTGCACTATTGTGTGGCCATTCGAGTGTAACAATTTAGGAGACGATGCATGTTAAAAATGTTTAAATATATTACACGAATATATTTACACCCTTTATGAGTCAGGTTAAGCTAAGCAGACCCTGCAATATATGGAATGTTAGAACGATATACATCAAGAAGTAGATCGTGAAGATCACATACTAAACAATAAATTAAGTTGACATAATTTATATAGCGCTTTAATAATTCGAAGCTATAACATAATTTGTAATGTTTTGTGAGACTAAAATAATAAAAGAAGATGAGAACAGTCTTAATTTTGATGATCAATCCCTTAATTATGCATGCTTTTTATACAGCACCAGACGTTAGAAAATTGGTAGGACATTAAAAGAATGTAATGAACAAGGAAGTAACATAATTTTATCATAGGTCACAATTCTGCTGTAATGTTTTCGGTATAAAAAAACTACACATATTTTTAAGGCAAACCTTAGTTTCTTTTTATACATAGGGCGCACTATAAGTTTCCGGAACTGGCCACTTCATAAACAATATTTAAAAAGTAATTACAACATTTGAAAATTGAACTCTTTGGCTGTAGAATACACTTTATTTCATCTGTCATTTGTTTTTACATTGTGGCGTTATTTTAGAAATTGGTTGTCTACATCACGATGGATTTAACGACTTTACTTGTAAATTAACAGCTCAGCGGAGCTTCGCTCGCCTTGACACTGCTTTTGGCGATGAAGCACCATGCAAGACCACTATTTATAGCTGGTTTGCAGAATTCAAACGCGGTCGTGTTAATCTCTGAGACGAATTTCGTGATGGTCGGCCGTCCACTGCTGTGAACTGCAAAAAATTCGATGCTGTGCGCCGCATGATCAAAACAGACAGGCATGTGACATACCATGAGATTCAGGCATCTTTAGGCATAGGCATGAGTCAAATGTAATCAATACTACACAAACATTTGGGTGTGAAAAAGCTGTGCTCTCGGTGGATCCCACACAATTTGACTGAGGCTCAAAAAACGGATCACGTCAGTTGGTGCCATGCTTACCAGATTCAACGAAGGGGCATCTGGTGAATTTGGTGTGGGACATAGTAACAGGTGACGAAACATGGATTTATAGTTACGATCCCAAAACAAAGCAGCAATCGAGCGTATGGGTCTTTTGAGATGAGCCGAAACCAATCAAAGTGGCGCGCGTGCAAAGTGCCTCTAAGCGGATGATTGCTTCTTTTTTTAATAAAACTGGACACGTGCCTACTGTTGCTTTAGAGAATCGTTGTACCGTGAATAGTGATTGGTAGACGACCATTTGTTTGCCGGAAGTTATTGACAAACTCCGTAAAAATACCCGTAAACGCCGTATCATCTAGCACCACGATAATGCCAGTTCTCACATGGCCAGACAGACAAATGAATTTTTGAAGGCGAACAACGTTGACCTTATGAGCCATCCTGCGTACAGTCCCGACCTGGCACCTTGTGACTTTTATTTATTTCCAAGAATTAAGAACCAGTTACGCGGTCAACGATTTTCGTCACGTGAAGAGGCTGTCGAAGAGTATGAAAAATATGTTTCAGAGATTGTCACGGAGGAGTGGCATAAATGTTTTCAAAATTGGTTTATTCATATGAAAAAGTGCATTAACGCTAACGGAGAAAATTTTGAGAAACAATAAATACATTTCTGTCCATTTATAATATTTTTTTCTTATTCATTCCGGAAACTTATAGTGCGCCTCACGTAATACCAAGTGACGGGACGAACAAGTCGTGCGCTTGGAGGTAAGCGACACGCTCATCTAACAGTTGTAGTGCCACTCATAGCTTTAAATGCAAAGATGTTACGGGCACTGCCACTGCGCCTATCACCCTGAGATATAAGTTGACAAGTTCCATATGCCTGTAATTTCACTAACACCTTTACCTTCCAAACCAGAACGCAGTAATGCTCACATTACTGCTTGGCGGCAGAAATAGGTAAGGTACTTCCTTGGATGAACTGTTTCACGCGGAGCACTACTGCTACTAATAAGTGATGTCCTTTTTTTCGGATAAGCGTGTGCCGTGCAGTGGCCACACTCCAGTGATGTAATAATCGTAGTAAATTATTATAATAAAGAGCACACGTTTTTATGGTCTACTTCAAATAAATAATTACTTTCCAAACACATCAAGCAAAACTAGCGAAAGTCTGTATATTATATTTATAATAACTTTTTGTCCATGACTTACAAGTACGTTCCTATAAATTTTATCAAATCGTTTCGATTCTAAATTGGTGTATGTATAAATATACAATTAATTATAAAAGATGACCAAAAGTTAACAGTAAAGGTGCTTTAGTTCGCGAAAGGTTATAAGTGTACAAGTTAAAAACGAACATGGACAATTTTCGTAAAAAATCCGCAACACGGCGGTGATGATCTCGTCTTGTTTGTTGTTTGTTGTTGTTGTGTTTAATTTATAATTTTTAGTAATAAAAACTTTGTTTTTCACACACATTAATGATCTTCGTTACCCAGGGACATTGTAAATGTTTGGACCTTAATACCAGTTCGAGCTGGGCTTTATTGCAAGCTATGCATAGACACCTGAAATTGACGACCCTTCAATAGTGATACGTGGAATTATATTTCAAATAAAATAGATTTTAGAGATCAGCGAAATCTCCTACAAGATATATGCACTTTTCTAGACACAATATTTTTTATTTCTTAAATAGATAAAAAGTTTATTTTTATTTTCCTGCGTTAGGTTTCTAAAGAGAACATACAAAGAGAAGAAATTAAAGCTTTATAATCATAGCAAGTCATCAAGCACCTTGTAAAATGACGTAATTATACATATTGCACTATCTATAAAAATTTAATACATTATTCTAATAAAAGTAAGGGTGAAAAATGTTCCCTTATAATTGTAATGGTTATCTCATTTGGTGATGATCATCAGGCCATTTACTGTAATATATTATGTTCACTTATTATCTATTCATATTTCATAATTTGTTTTTTTATATTTTATTTATACCAAGTCTCAAATGAAAGCCAGTCTGAAATTCAGAGTTTCAAGTACTGGGTTATATTCTGAAGTGCAGAATTGGTTTCAGAAACGTATATTTCACTTTTCACAGTTTTATTTGCTTAAATTAAATACGAGCTTATTTAAAATATGAGCTTTTTATCACGATTACGACCCCAAGCCGAAGAAGAAGCCCAATATTTATTTTGAAGACGTCGGGATTATGTGCACACGAAAATATAGATGCAGGCAACTTATGTGTACACTTAACTGAGTGGCTTTATAAGTTAGACGGATAGAGAGCAGTTAGGTGCAGCCTTTTTATTTGAATGTAGGCAACTTAAAACAACTTCTAGCCCGCCAAAATGACGTGCTTCCCAGCGTTCGTGACAGAATAAAATCTTTTATTCAGTACAGTTCTTATACTTAATACATTGCGCAAGCGCAATTGCAACACTCATTACGTGAGTTATGACCACTTGCAATAACATAAGTACGTCGTAATGTGAGTCACCAGAGGAGAAGCGGGAAAAAAAAATTTGGTAACCTAAACGGTTTAGGTGGTTACACTTAAATAAAAACAAAACAAAACGTATACTATAAATCTAAGAATATTGTCTAAAGGATGTGCTAATTTGTTATACGATAAGATGTACATAATTTACCTGACCAAATAAAATCCTGAAGACCGGCTAAAATAAAAATGTAAAACGAATTATTTAAGAATAGAATATCTAATTATGCGCATATTTCTTTTATGGAGATTTAAAAAAATATCTAGTGACGGGACGAACAAGTCGTACGCCTAATGGTAAGCTACACGCCTGTCCATAACAGTTGCAGGGCCACTCAAAACTTTAAATCGCAAAGATCTGAGGGGAACTGCCACTGCACCCATCACACTGAGACATAAGTTGACAACCCTTACCCTTCAAAACCGGAACACAGTCATGCTGACGGCGGAAATAGGTAAGGCGCCAGTACTACCCTGGACGAACTCTTTCACACGGAGCTCTACTATTATCAAAATTTTTCTTTAAGTACTACAGAGAACCTGCTAAAGAACCTGCAGCTGTTCTTATTTTATACATACTAATTTTCAGCGCGCTGATTGCGGGACGCGAAAGGTGACCCCCACACTTCCCCTCCTAAAATCTAGGCTCGCGTTCAAATATCTCGCCTTAATACAATGCTTGCAATGCAAAAGACTCTCTTAATACTTTGTGTTAATAGTGTCTGTCAATCTAAGCATTGGTTTAAGATATATTTAAGTTTAGTGCAAGTGAACATTAGTGTTGAAACTAAATTCCGACAAGTTAGTTTTTCTAACCCTGACATAGCGGGGCTAGTACCTTGTAGCCTTTACATACGTTTTATCTATAATAATGTAATGTTACTTATCGCATACAAATTCCTTCGTTTCAGAGCCGTAATACTGATGAGCGAGATCGAATAACTCTCTTCGAAGTTGCAAGGCCTGCGCACGAAGTTGCTGCTCCCGCTGTCTAATGACGCGGTATTGTTCTTCACGCTGTTCTGTTCGCTGCACGATCTGCCAGCGTAGGTAGAGCTCTGGGGGATATACTAATACCTTTATGGATGCCTTGATTAGTGTATTACGTAAGGATGGATGCGTACTGCACGCCGCGCTTGACACTATGTTAAGATCATACCACGTATTGTAAATGCACCATACTGTTATGGTACATTGTCACGGTTCTGATTCGAATGCGAATTCTAATCGAACGCTGAATCACTATTTCTTATATGATATCATTCTTAGTGACCCAATATTTTTTTCACCTCACTAGCTCGGAAAGGTTTTATGTAACATAAATCCCTTGGTATATTTTATTGTTGACATTAAATTGACAATGATAACTAATTGTGTTTATTGAATTACTTTAATTCGTCGAAAAACTAAAATAATTTCAATAATAACTTAATCACACAAAATAAAAGTACAAGTAAGAATAAAAATTGACGTAGTGTAAATTCAGAATGCATCCGAAGATAAACTTTTATTTTCATTAAAAAAGATTTTATAAGTAGTTCCAACTGTTTCTCTTTCATACCTCACTATAGTGAGGTGAAAAGTTATGTGTTTCGCTCGGCAGCAAAATTGTTTTGCGTCTCGTGCCTTGAAACCCTCGCTACGCTCAGGAATCTGCAGCCTTGCATAACAAACAACTATTTTTATGTTATCAAGTGAACGGAAGTATATGTGGCCCTGGTGGTAAAGGACACGCCTGTACATAACAGTTGCAGTGCCACTAAGAGCGTTGAAAAGTAAAGATTTGAGGGCACTGCCGCTGCGCGCGTCGTAATTTCACCAGCCCCCTTACCCTTCAAAACCGTAACGCAGTAAAGCTCACGTTACCGCCTGGCGGCAGAAATAGGTAAGGTGGCAGTATTTCCCTGGACGAACTCTCTCACAAGGAGCTCTACTGTTACTAAATGCCAATTATAGGCTTCCACCTTCAATTTACATTATTATAGAACAATTATTAACCAATTAACATAGAACCCAGATTAAACCACTCACCTTCCCATAAAACAAAGCTCATAGGAGCGACTGAAGGCCAAATAACAGTGGGGGTTGGTTCATACAACGGATTGATGTAAGTAGTCAGTTCATCCGGCTGGTTGATCCATGACCAGATGCTGGTGGTCTGTTTGTATACGTCTCGTGATTCGCGTTCTTGGTCGCTGTCGCAGAGGAACGTACCTGTACATACAAAAAATATTGTCGATTTTCCTACACGCAAATGTGACACTTGTAGCACTTCTTTGGACTGTGGGATAGTTTCGAGCGATGACTGTAATTACATAACCGTTTCTCCGTTAGATACGCCGATAAGCGACCACAACGCACAGCTATTCGTATTACCTGTTACGCAACACAAAAATGTAAACAAATTTATACATCGACGTATCTTTGCAGAGGAGTCTATTAATTTATTTTATATGGACATTTATAATTGTGATTGGAGTTTCATTCATGTGACTGATATTAATATTAATGAAAAATTTAGTTCATTGATAAGAGTATTAACTTATTATATTAATATTCATTTTCCTATTAAAAAAATATCTTTAAAGAGGAATACTATTCCATGGGCGAGTGAAGAACTCAACCACCACATTGCAATGTATAATAATTTCTGCTCAATGAAACACCAGTTTCCACACGATAATGTTTTAAATAAATGTCTCCAACATCATTCAAATTTAATAAAATCTATGAGTTTGCGTGATCGTCGTGTATTTAATGATAATAAGATGAAGTGTACTAAAAACTCGAGTAAGGTAATGTGGCAGATTGTGAACGATGAGGTTTCAACTAGGAATCACCAACAAAACGTTCGACTGACTCACAAGGGAGACATTGTGCCTGTAGACATGATACCTGACTACTTCAATGATTATTTTCTTACAATTACTTCAAAATTACATCTACACAATAATATAGAAAAATCAATGTCATTTTTAAGAAAATGCATGGGTGAATGCGATGTTCCTCAGTACAGCCTTCCAACTGTCACTCGTGCCTCGTTGGAGGGTGTAGTGGCATACGTCAAAAACGCTGGGCATTTACGATATATCTATAAATATATTAGTGTCGGTGTGGCCAGTGATTGGAGACATACTCGTTATTTTAATAAATGAAATGTTTACAGAAGGTATATATCCTGATATTTTGAAAAGTACTCGTGTATGTCCAGTATTTAAGGGAAAGGGGGACGTGACCCATGTTGAAAGCCACAGACCGATAACCATAGTTCAGAATATATCAAAAATAATAGAATCTATTAGATCAACAAGTATTATGGATCATTTTGAAATGAACGATTTGTTATCAGATAGACAATATGCTTATAGGAAAGGTAAATCCACCGTAGTTGCAGCACAAAATATAGTAGATTCTATTATTACCAGTATAGATGATAAGTATAAAACTGCAGGCATTTTTTGTGACCTAACAAAGGCGTTCGATGTAATTGAAAATTATTTATTAATTCAAAAGTTAGCTGTGTATGGCGTCAACGGAGTCGCCCATAACCTATTAAAGTCTTTTTTATCAAACAGACGGCAAACGGTTCAGGTCAGTACAAACGGTACAACAACTAGGTCAGCGGCTGGTGACGTCACCATTGGCATTCCACAGGGATCCGCCCTAGGTAATACACTATTCCTAGCATTCATCAATGATCTGCCATACTTTATATCAGGGGGACTTATAGTTCTATTTGCGGACGATACAAGCGTTATAGTGTGTGCTAAAACCTACAACGGGTTTGAAAAAAAATTAGCCTGCACATATGAGCAGCTGTGTGAGTGGTTCTCTGCGAATGGACTTATTCTTAACGAATCGAAGTCAAAACTTATGTTGTTCTCAGGACGAAATTCTATAACAAGGCCAATTATCACCTCCATTGTTCCATTATGTAACACCTGTAAATGCTTGGGTTTAACGCTAGACTCAAATTTGAACTGGAAGTCACATATGTATACAAACTCTATGTCAAAAACTTGGAAGTGCTGCATACGCATTGAGGAAACTGCATCCTCTTGTTTCCAATGTGGTATTGAGGCAGACGTATTTTGCATATTTTCATTCGTTGATATCTTATGGCATCACACTGTGGGTTATTCAACTGAGTCGATTAGGGTATTTATTCTTCAAAAATGTGCACTAAGAACAATAGTAGGCATAAAAAAGGGTCAGACCTGCAGAAACCATTTTAACAAATACAATATAATGACCATGTACTCACAATATATTTATGATATAATAGTTTATGCGCGTCAAAACTTGGCTACTTATGAGCGACGTACGGGCGGAGGCCGAGCGTTACGAAACGCGGGAATACTAAAATCCGTTGCCCACCGTACCGAACTTGCAACTAGAAATCCGCGGGTAATAGGTCCCCGATTCTACGAACATCTACCCACAGACCTGAAAAGTGTTAGAAACGATGAAACGTTTTGTACCCCGACTAAAAAACCTTTTATTGGATATTGAATTGTACAGTGTCGATGAGTTTCTTTTGAAACAATTTTAATTTTATTTTTATTCGACAAGCAGTAGTTATACTACTTTATTTTATATTCATTATTATTATTACAATTTTATTACTGACGATCATAGTTATCCCTTGACATTGTATTTCCAATTGCAATATTGTGACATTGATAACATGAAATAAACGATTCTATTCTATTCTATTCTATTCATACGATAAACATGCACAATTACAATTTATATTGGCGATATACATTTATCCCTTAATAACCACCTTAACTGCCTTTGACCGAACGGTTACCAAGCTGATCTGCCACGCAGCGATCCCGGGCCGGGAGAAATATTTGTATTGCCTACATTTATTTATCTCGTGAGTTTGGGTGTAATTTGTGGTTGTCTATGTGTGTGTCCATGGCACCCGCGACACAGAGTCTCCCGGGGCTATGAGCGTGTGCGTTATTATTATTATTCAACAGTAATGAAATAATTAACCGACTTCAAAAAAGGAGGAGGTTCTCAATTCGACTGTATGTTCTCTTTTTTCTTTTTTTTTGTATGTATGTGACGCGATAACTCCGGTATTTGTGAACCGATTTTCATGATTCTTTTTTTGTTGGAAAGGGGGTACTTCCATAGTGGTCCCATTTAATTCTGAAGAAAATCATCCACCTCGAAGGGTGGCTGTTCACGCATGAAGATTCATTTTTATAAATAGCGCCTACCTTTAAGATTTAGGAGCAATTACTTTAATGGTTGATTTTGCTATTTCTCCAATTCAAGGCATTTTTCTCTCAATATACTTTCGAGTAGTGAGAACCGATTTTTATTATTTCCAGTGTAAAGCCCTGTATAGTGGCGAACTAGGGGATATTTCAATAAAACTTAGCAAATAGACGTAATTCCACGTACTTTTGAGCTCGGTTATTTTAGTACTCTGTATTTGTAATTATAAAATTATAAGGTTTAAATTCGAATTCAATTAATATCATTGTCACTCACCAAATTGACTAGCATAAGAATGTTCAAATAACGTAATAAGAAAAGACTGTCGGTATTCGAAACTGCAGGGAAACTGTTCCAAGAATTGCCGCACGCAGTCCAAGAAGAGGGGGAAAGTGGGTGCCGCGCGGGGTTGCGAAGTGCCGTAAACGCTGCAGCGGTGGCGAGTGCCGAACGGGTGACCCGCTTGCAGCCACTCACGCTCGATTAGGGCCTGAAATCTGGAGGAATTCATAAAATTGTATTATCAATTTAAGTCAAATGTGTCAAAATGATCTGACAATTTATAGTGTTCAAAAATATCAGTATTACTGAGAAAACACAAAGTCAAACAATTTTTCATTAAATAAAAATTCGTCTAAAAAGAATTTGCACTTTTACACGCAACTAAGGCATATTAAATGCCTTAGTTGTGTGTTAAAGTCCGCCATATAGTTGAGGTAAAATTTATTTTTTAATACAGTTGCTCAAAACATGGTATTTTCCGTACTACAAATCGTGCCGAAAGTTGGATTTTTCGCACAAGTGCTTTTTACTTTCCCATTTTTTTTAATTTACTGTTGTTTCAAGTCTTAAGCATAGAACTAAAGAGGTTGTAATTATATTAAATATTTATGTGCTTTGTGACGTAAGTCATTCGTCATTAAAACTTATATTTACTTACAAACATCTTATTTGTTTAAATTGCATAGGTGTTTTATACAACAACGGGTTACATTTAAAAATATCAAAATATTTTCCATAAAAATGGCTGATTGTCTATTAACAATGACCGGAAGTGAGTATTACGCGAGACCGCTGCGCGCCGCGCCACTCAAAACTGAATACTGGCCACAGTTCCCATTGTACTCTTGAATTTTTATCAGACAAAGAAATAAAATTAGAAAAGTTTTTTTTAACACTGTTTTATTTTACTTTTAATGTAGTTTTTTCGCAAATGTATTAAAAAACATCGTTTCATACACGTGCGGATTTGTCATTTTCACTTGGCTAACTTTCCGCATTTGTATCAAAAATAACTATTACACCTTATTAGCTCGGAAAGGCTTTTCTTTCTCATTAGAAATCTGGGCGTAAAAGCGAAATTCGAACTTCACGTTGGGCTGTGGTGCACCTAACTTTTTCTTTCAATGAAAAAAAAAAACGATTTGTCGTACATTACTTATGTAATATAAATCCGTTGGTATATTTTGTTCTTATTATTGTTGACGTGAAATTGACAACGATAACTAATTTTTAACCGACTTCAAAAAAGGAGGAGGTTTTCAATTCGACTGTATGTTCTTTTTTTTTTCTTTTTTTTTGTATGTATGTTACGGCGATAACTCCGGTATTTGTGAACCGATTTTCATGATTCTTTTTTTGTTGGAACCACTATGGAAGTACCCCCTGTACTTCCATAGTGGTCCCATTTCATTTTGAAGAAAATCATCCAGCTTTAAGGGTGGCTTGCATGAAGATTCATTTTTATAAATAAAACTTTAATTTAGGAGCAATTATTTTAATGGTTGATTTTGCTATTTCTCCAATTCAAGGCGTTTTTCTCTCAATATACTTTGAGTAGTGAGAACCGATTCTTATTATCTCCAGTGTCAAGTCCTGTATAGTGGCGAACTAGGGGATATTTCAATAAAACTTAGCAAATAGACGTAATTTCACGTACTTTTGAGGTCGGTTTTTTTAGTACTCTGTACAGAGATTATAGTTATTATGTTTATTAAATTATTTTTGACGTATGAACATTGACTTACAAATAAATGGACGACGGGTCTAATACAAAAACCACGAAAAAAATGTCCCAAGTCAACCTATTCGAAATTTAAATTGTTATGTCATCGCAGTATCGCGCTGTCCGTAGAACAAATGAAGACTAAAGCGGAGTGTCGCGCTCTGTATACGATTTTAGCGCCTTACAAGTGCGGACACTTTTTAGCGCGGACCCGACGTCCATATAATTGTAAGTCAATGCGTATGAATGAATAAAACTGATTTGTTATAGTTCAACTGTTTTTCTTTCATCTACCTACTATTTTCTTCGCTATAGTGAGCTGAAAAGTTGTGTGTTTCGCTCGGCAGCAACGTTGTTTAGCATCTCGTGACTTGAAACCCTCGCTACGCTCAGGATTCTATTTTTGAATCTTAGGCCTCTTCGATTGCTTAGGTTTCAATAAAAGCACTCGCGACAAATAACAATTTTGCAGCCTTGCATAATAAAGAACTATTTATTATTTAACTGCCTCCGTAGCCGAACGGATACCATGCCGGACTGCCACGCAGAGGTCTCAGGTTCGATTCCCGGGCCGGGAGAAATAGTTGTATGGCCTACAATTATTTCTCTCGTGGGTTTGGGTGTAATTTGTGGTTGTCTATGTGTGTGTCCATGGCACCCGCGACACAGGGTTTCCCTAGTGCGGGGCTATGTTGAGTGTGTGCGTTATTTATTTATTTATTTATTTATTATTATTGACACAAAGATTGAACAACACGAAGAAAAATTCGATCTGACTGAACTCGAACCAGTGCCAGAGGGAATTTTGTTTGTGTCGTTGTTGTCTCGTAGAGTATTTTAATCGACATCAAAAAAGGAGGAGGCTCAATTCGACTGACGTATGTTTTTTTATTTGTATGTATTGTACGCGATAACTGTGAACTGATTTCGATGATAATTTTTTTGTTGAAAGAGGGTACCATATATACTTATATATATACCATATATACATATATACTGTAGTGGTTTGAAGAATTTGAGGAAATTATTTCACCTCTAAGGGTGGCAAACTAGGAGATGAATCCGGTTTAATAAAACTTGGTAAATAGATGTAATTCCACGAACTTTTTCAAACGAGGTCGATTTTTTTAGTACTCTGTACTGATATTATTTACAAAATCATGTTAGTAAAACGTCATGATAATAAATTTAAAAAATATTAATTTCTATTCATCAAATAATTATAAACATTTGGTACGCCTGAATCGTTTTGATCCGACGCTAACATTTATCCTTTGTCAGTGGACACCAACACGCAGTAACGGGACCTTAAGAATGTATGAATAAAACTCGTCTTCTTCGTGTAACCGGCAAGTTAAATCCTTAAAGCGAAAAAGAACGGTATGCCAATCGGTTTTTCCCGCTGTCTTGCCATTAAACAATGTTTCCACAAATTATGTGTAAAATTTTTGGCAGTGTTGCCATTTAAGCCACAGTTTTTACTAAATAATTGTCAAAAAATTGTAGTAGCAGTGGTTTAAAAGACCACACTGAACCGAAGACACAATTTCAATAATGCGCGTGCAGTTGAAGCGATACCACATCCACATGGGCGTTGCGTTGCCGCAAAGCTATTATTTCAACCTAATTGCTTGCGGTGGCGTGGCGTTTCAATGCACCGTGTGGCATATCATTCTGATTTATATGTTTCGTCGCAACGCCCATTTGGCATCGCTTGTGCTTGAAATGTTTTTCAAACATTTTATGAACCTTTTACGTACAAACATGTTTTTTTTAATATTATCATTCACTCACTTTCTTTTAATAACAGAAACAGAATATTTAATAAAAACGGAAGTACATTACCTTGCTACTCTGCGGACCCAATGATAGTTAAATCATGCAACATAGCTGTTCAATATTTCATATTATTTTCAATGTTTCTATCATGGAATTTTCCCACCCCTTACAATTAATAAAATAAATAATACAAACGTAATCACAAACACCACCACTATAAATATACCCGATACGTGTCTCGCCTCTTACAAGGCATCCTCAGGAGTAGTTGATTGTTCGGTGCAAAATTAAGTGCACGAAAAAATAAAAGACTTTTGAGAGAAAGAATTTTGGCGGAGAAGTAAAGGAATTTACAGTCATTATGATTAAAGTGTATTCCCGCAAAGTAACTATAAATTGAAAAATAATTCTTCATTGAAAGAAAACAATTCATACCCTCTTATAGTCCTGCAGTCGGGATTTAGAATAATTTGCACTATTGAACAAACTAACAACGTCGCATCCTCGCCTCGCGTGCCGTGAATTAAAACAGGCTCCGCTTTCTGTAAACAAACGGACATCATTTAAGCTAAACAAAAAATTTTCAATTACCTATGCTTGTTGGATAGAAATATAGTAGATATTTGTGTACCATTCCAAGAAATAAATATGACTCTGATATAAGCAGCTCCTTTAGTATTGTAAAAAGTAAATAAAAATGGCGCTAAAGATCTGCAAGAAGCACATAGAAAAATTCGTAAGGTCCGTTAATTCATTGCGTGGCTTAGTTGGCATAGCGTCTATCACGGTTTGCTGGAAGATGCTGGTTCGAATCCAGCTGAATTGAAGGAATTTTTTCTTAGTGTTCGTTTTTTGTATTAATATATATATATAATAATTATATATATACATGTATTAATTAATGTAAATAAAAATGTTTTTATATCAGTTAATTTTATGTCAGCCCACTTCGTAATATATAAATATAATTATGTGGCTTGCATTTGGTACTAAAAGTGCGTAAGTAGTTTGGTACTAAAACGGCCAGTTAGGACGGACGGTTAGTTAGTTTGACTAAGGACACGCGCTATAAATTGATTTTTTGGGGGTTGACCTTGAATAATAAACTTAAATATATGACAATACAAAACTAAAAACACATCTGTGGGTTGTTTTTCATTATGAAACCCATGAGTCAAATCAACAAAGCACGGTATAATACCTATCGGTTGAAAAAATAAATTTTGTTTTATGATAAACTGTGCCTGAAGCTTTTTATATTATATTATACCTGGTGTATGTGTTGCGCGATAATGCACGCAGTGTGTAAGGAATTTCTAACGCTCTCAGGCCAGCCACACGATTCTAGCTTTGATATCCATTTGTCGCTTGATATTTCGCGATCATTGCAAGCTGTAATTTAAAGAAATAGCACAACAAATATATTTTTTATGATTAGAAACAAAGAAAAAAGGAGAAGGAATTTGTTGTCGATTATCGAATTTTGCATTGCGCTTGTTTGAATTGTTTCACATCTAACTACACGGGCTTAACTAATCAGGCACTAAATGATATTTGTCAATGATAATTATCATGTTAAATAGACCTCGACAATTTATCTTGATATTTATAAAATTATTTGGAACAACAAATTACTATTACTAGTAATGTCGTGTCATGTGTTTGTATTCTTAATGTATCCAAACGGGTTAAATGTCAATCCTAAAAAAGGTCTCAAAACAAATCTTTTTCAAAAAGGATTTTCTTCGTGATCATTTAGTTTTCTCGGAGTTTGTCATTTTAAATCATGAATAAAGAGACAAGACTATGAATCAGCAAATATAATATTATATAATCTCGGACAATTATCATGATAATTATCGAAAATATTTCTTGATTATTTTGAAACCTGGAACTAATACATAAAATTTCAAGCATGTGTTAATTGAACCCAAGAGAGCAGACTTGTTATTATGTGTTACAGCAGTGCAATAGTACCTTCAATAAGTTTAGAAAAACTCTCAAGCAGCTGTTGTTGGTTGTCGACATCGTCTAATGATCTGTTGTAGATTTTCCATTGTGAATAATTGGCATTGCTCTCTGTACCTCCTCCTGAAATTTAGATGCACAGATATGTTTTTAAATCCTTATAATTCAGTTTGATATGCTAATGTAATAATGTACGGACGGCAGAATATCAAGCTAGGCATCGGTGGATATTGTTCTATTGCTCTGGAGACGAAAATTCGAACAAAAGTTATGTTTTTAAAATATCAAGTGACGGGACGAAGAAGTCGTGCGCCTGATAGTAAGCTACACGCCTGTCCATAACAGTTGCAGTGCTACAGAGCTTCAAATCGCAAAGATCTGAGGGGCACTGCCACTGCGCCCTCACCCTGAGACATAAGTTGACAAATCCCATGTGCCTGTTATTTCAGTTTCATCAGCACCCTTACCCTTCTAAACCGGAACGTAGCAATGCTAACATTACTGCTTGGCAGCAGAAATAGGTAAGGTACTTCCCTGGACGAACTCATTCACAAGGAGCTCCGTTGACTGTACATACATGTTTATAGGCGGTGGGAACTGCTAGTTGTACAGTGCACAACAGGTGGTGAGCGAGTCAACAGTTCCGGTACCTATCTGGACAATTGAGTGCACCATCTCTATTGTCTCGCCCGCGCACCTGGTACCTGGCACACCGCGCAACATCATGCAAGGCACTGGGCTTTTGAAAACCGTCTGCAATGGTTTTTATAAATTATTGATTGTCTAAGTATTGATTTGTAATGAGTAAAAGTTATGTTGAACTTATTTATTTACATAAATCTCTTCAATATTTTCTTTATTTTTTTAATCAATAGTACATACATAGGAAATAATTTGTCGTTAATTAAAAATACGCGATGTTTATTTCGTAAAATTATAACAGCGACATCTATATGCTCCTTGGCGACACTAACAGTTGACACTAGACTATAATTCCGAATTCACCACGTAACTATCAAGACTCAGCTTGTTTTATTTTTCTTCATGAAAATGCGGGAAAATAATTAAAAACAACGTAATTTTAATGGATTTTATTATTACATACTTTTCTTTTTTAACCGTTAATATTCTCTGAATGTAAATAACATTAAGTACTTAAACATTATACTACCTTAGGACAATTCGGAACATCAAAAAAGAAAGAGATGGCATTATACCGTTCATATAGCGTTATTTCTTTCCTATTTTTAGTAAGGAATAGACAATATTGGGAAATCATTTGTTCTTTCAATCACTTTAGCAATAATATTAAAATATGGAAACCAAAGGACATGTTATATTGACATATATAAATCAGACGTTATATGTATATGATGCATTTAGACGTTGAGAACATAAACATTTTTTTGTCTCTGTTTAACTACTGCGTGCCGACTACATACATAGCACTACATTGATTTATGTCAAACACGGGAATTGAAAATACATAACGTCATCTTAAATGCCCACTGTCCTCATTTTTACCATTTATGGAGTACCCTTTGACATCCGTTCCCGGTTGTTACTACTAACAACAGTTTCAACATTCAAGCCATACGTTTGCATGTCGATATTGACTTATCTATGATTACGGTACAACACTAAATCCGTCATTTGTGGTGTACATTCTTGGTTTAGAGGAACGTTTATTCCGTAGATATGGCTGCTCCTTTCCTTTATTTTTTCCATCCTCTAAGGCATACATTACTTGGTTGACAGGTCTGTCATGGTACGAATATGAGTAATAATATAAAAAGGTTACTTTATGCTTACATTGAAATAAGATTTTTTTGGAAAGGTTATGGTAGGCCCCCAAGGGTCGTCGTGGTGAAATAGAGATGATCCCACGGCGCCGGCACAAACCCGGCGAGAGGCAAACCGATGGGGTTTAGTGGGTACACCCCTGGGTCCATGCTAGACCCAGGAGCAGCGCCCTTTTCAGGGCGCCGGGACTCCCACGTAACCTCCGAGCCGCCCGGGCTCGGGGGTATCCATAAAGGATTCCCCACCGATACCAAAAAAAAAAAAAAAGGCCCACAAGGGTCAGGACCTGACTGACAAGGTCCCTGTGCAGGTTTGCTTGCATAGGTAATAGTGCCCTTCCCATACAACTATAATCAAAAGTTGATAGCGAGTTGGCACTATAAATAAAACGTAAGTAGAAGGTATAGGACTATCCATGTATTTCAATATAAAGTAAAGATTAAAATATCACCTTTACATCGCATAGGAGACATAATAAGGCAAATTTCTTAACTTACATATAAACAAACATTATTTTTAAACTATCCTACCTTTACTTTGGTATTGTGAAATAAGTCCAGAACTCCGCAGGTCATAGATAACACCCTTCATGCCGACCCCGACGACAGCGTTAAGGATCGCCTCGTCCGCCCGACAGCGCCGGTGCTTTGGACCATAAAGCGGCTGGCCAGCGCGTAGCAGCACCGCCTATTAATTTTAAGGTTTACTGGTTAACACTTGACATTTATTATTAACAACTTATAAACATTTAGACATGAAAAATTAATTAAAATTATTGTAGATATAAACGGTCGCACAAACATAAAGAAAATTTCCTAGATCCGACTGGACCACGTAGCCACGTTGAAGCGACAGATGCTGGTTCGAAGCAAGTTTTCTTTATGTTTGTTCTTATATCAATAATAACAACAAAGTAGTGAAGTATTTTCACAAAAACTAGATGAATATCATAATAGTAAAAACATCATGATATTCAATAAAAATAAATTATTTAAAATTGTTCTTTTACAATAATTTTCATTTTACATTATATAACTTGGTACTAGTGGCTATATACTTAGATCATTACCACTATAAAGTTACATAATTAGATGGATAATAGTGGTCTATTACATTGTGATATTTGATGCACCCTCTAACTCTCAATTCGAGCCACCTTGCATTTTAAGCTTAAACCAAATAATATTAGAATTATCAAAAACTATTATTTAGCAATTTTGAAACTTATTAATATATTGAATTTTATTAAATGTAGTATATGAAACATAATTTCGTCCTAGTTGAAAATTTGTAAAACAGGAGAAAACTTTCTTGGATGATAACAATATTTTTATATTCTAGCCCTGTAAGAATAAAAATGCAAGGTCACACGAATTATGTGTTCGGTTATATAGTACTGGATCGAGAATTCAAACAATAATTACCCCATTATTATGCCTATAAGAGAGCACCGGGAAACGTCCACCCTGTCTAAATGAGGCAGCATTGGCTAGCGTTTCATCGTCAACAGTCTTCGGAACTACCACTGACTTAGCATAACCAGAACATATTGTGTAATTCTGATTTACACGGGAGATACGCCACTCCTCTGTTGCTAGTACTTTTGTAAATTCTCCTTCAACACTGGAAAGCAAATAATGAAAATTAAATGAATCACTAACAAGGGAGGCTTAATTTGTATTCAGTGTCTAAAATGTGTGGTATCACACAATTTATAATATTGTAATTTATTGGTATTAAAAGTTAAGTCAGTAACATAGTCATGAACATATAGGACTGGTGATACAGCGGAAGTGACCCTACTCTCCGATTCTAAAGTGGCACAATTTATTACAGAGGTCATTTTTTGGACATTGGCATTCCAAAAAATTGTAGATCTGACCTGATTTAAAACAGTAGAGTACAACTTCCAAATAGCCGTGATTTGTGGTGTTTTTAAATGAATATGAATAAGGAAATTAGGTAAATCGAAGCATTTTATAACAAAATCATTAAATTTGAAAAAACTTAACAAGTATTTAATAGCAAATATTTTTTACCCACATTTTTTACTCTTTGGGCGTGAAACCAGAGGAGTGCTTGCCTATTTACTGCTTGTATATTTATTTTATATATAGGGTGCGCCGTATATGACCCTTGCTCAAAGGTCGGAAAATTGGATACATATTGTACCTACAACTCGGTACGTTGCTAACATGGAATGCGCCTTTGTATCGGGTACCGGGTTTTGACGAACATACGAAGTCAAGTATAAAATCATGCTCCAAGATAAAATTGAAGAAAAATAAACGTTATAAAGCTTTTAATAATTTAAACCCCAGCCAAAGCACTGTTTGATAGAAATAAATAACTGTAAAATAATCTAAAGGTGCGAGCGAGATAGACATATCGGCCTGTCCCCGGAGGTGTGTTATTTTGCCTTAGTTGCGGACATATTCGTTTTATGTGTTTATTACAAAGATAATTCTCAAACAAAGCTCTTAATTAAATTAAATATGATTTTTCATGAAATATTTCATGTTATGATAGAAAACTATTAAAGGCGCCAATAAGTCAAAAAAATAAAAAAATACAAAGCTATCCATTTTTTCTGAAGACTTCATACATAGTAGCATGTTTTTTCAACGCGGATTTGTTAATTACAGTAATAAGTGCTGCCATTAAAAAATCCAGATGCAACAAACACAAGAGAGATTTATGCTGTCTGCAAAGTGCAATATTTTATATTCATTGAGTGTAGCACATTACCAATAGGTATGTTATCAGAACAAGCCGGTGAATCAAGGAACAAGTTTTGACGTTAATATCGAGAGCACCATACAAGAAAGTTTGATCGGAAAACGACCATCACAGACTTATTTCACCGTGCGAGGGTCGTATTCTAGAACTCTACTTAATGTTCAAGTCAGGACTTGAGTACGATTCAAAGCACTAGAAATCATACTCAAGTCCTAGCCATTAGGGTCGTATTTCCAGTGTCTGTCAAGTCTGCTCAAATCCTGACTTGAGCATTGAGTACAGTTCTGGAATACGACAATTAGTACACATCAAAAATATTAAAAAATCGTATAATTCGAAATAAATATATTATTCTTGTAGTTGTTGTTGTTTTAACATATAACCCTCCATTGATTCACGTAGTCATGTAAAAATTTATACATATTGTAACAACCCTATTTCCATAGAAATCTAAAAAAACCTTAGAAATGCGGTATCTCTGAGATCTTTCAAGATAAACATTTATTTTTTCTTTATTCGATAGATACATTAACGTAGTATATTTTGAAGGTAAAAAAAATGCTAATTTAGTGCGGTTGATTTTATATAAATATATTTTTAAAATTGACAAAATATTTTTTTCTCACTTTGTTGTGCGCTTAAGGACTTACGATTTTCACATTTAATAAAGTTTAAATAGACAGTAAATTTGTATTTTTTACAAAGGGAAGTTTCACATATTTAGAGAAATACAGGTAAAAACAATTTTCTTGAAGTTCAGTGACCTTTCGAAAAAAAAATGATATCTCCGTAATAAAAGTTACAGTCAAACTTATTAAGTTTGTCAATTTGTAGGAAGTTATTAGTTTTGTTATAAATCTTGCAACTTACAGAAGCAAATTTATTTTAATAATCAGTTATTCAAGGTAGTTACAGAAAACAGGACTGATTATTTAAGGTAATGTAGTAATAAGACATTTATGTGTTTAAAAATAAGAACTATGATAAAAGAGCTCTTAAGTGACCTTTGACAAAATAATAACTAATAACTTCTACAAATGCCAGGACTTCTCGGAACTAATCATATTTAAATACATGTATTATTTATTAAATTTATGAAATTTGAGTACTTTGTTGACAAATTATTATTATTTCCTGTGAAGTATTTGCTACAAATTATTGACTCAAATGATAATATTGTTGTTGTGTTTCTATAGGTACTTACATATTTAAATACTGTATTAAGCTGTTTAAAAAATAAACATGAGACTACTTATATTTTGAAAGGGTTAGAAAAAAAATTAATTGGGTATGTCAATACTAACAAAACATTCATACTTCAGAGAAATTAACTCCATCAATTCCATTTACTGGTGATAAAGCTTAACTATTATGCTCAATAAGCACTATGGCCCAAAGTAGTAACATTTGGTATGAAGTACAATTTAAATGCTGTCTATGAACGGGTTAATAATAAATGTTCAAGCATTTACCTGTATAAAGTAAATCCATTTTCCATAATAGGATGCATGTGCCTATAAAAGAATGGATAGAACAGTGTAGGGTCCTGTAAGCTGGAGAGATTTTCTAATGTCTGAGCCATAAAATTCAGTTCAGTAGAGGTAGCTATGTCAAGCTGAAAAATTCTCAAATCTTTGCATTTAAGGAACAGAGATCCTCCCTGTGGAATTCCACTGTTTGGCTTATTTTCCTTCTTCTCTATGCTGTCTATGTTTTTGTGAAGAAGCTGGAAGAACAATATAGGTAAATGTTTCATTTGTACCTAACTACTGCTGGCCAAAATATAGTAGTTGATTTCTATATACATATGTGTAAATAGTTTAATAAAACAACATGCATAGTTTTGGCACTGTAAGTAGCAGGGTAATCCGCTCTACATTGATAAAACCCAAGCATGTGCTTGTTGCCAACAATAACACAGTGCTTAATTCTTAAATTGCAAAATAATACATAAATATTATAACAAATTTATGTAAATTACTACAATATTCTAATTTTCATGTATTTATAGAATTTTAGAATGATACCCTTTAAATGATTTACTATGACATTTAATACAAAAATAATGTTTATTTACAATTATACAGAAAACATCACCAACCTATTTTATAAGTACCACTGCTGAGCACGGGTCTACTCTCAGGTGACAGTATTTAAGACTTTAGTCCACCATGCTGGCCCAATGCAAGTTAGGGACTTCACATGTTTTCCGAGGGTTGTAAACATTAATCTCACAATGGTATCCTTCACCGAAAAGCTCATGGTAAAATTAAATTTCACATATAAATTCCATAAAAGTCAGAGGTGCAAGCCTGGATTCCAAACCACAGCCTTTGCTTGAGAGGTAGGGGTTGGTCAAACCATTAGGCTATCACGGCTTTAGAAAGCATCACAGATAACCAATTTAATAAAGTGGAGTGTTGGCGTTTTGGAGATAAGCTGCCATAGCAAATACTAATTGCATCCAAGTATTGAATGACAGCGCTTCAGCTTTTGCGCCAACCAATTATCGCATTTTGGCATTTACTAGTAGAAGAACGGTGTAGCACGATCGGGTTGAAGTGGGTGTAATAGAATCAGCTGTTAGTTATTAATCAAACGCAATTGACAAAAGGGCGCCAAACTACTGGTTACTATTTATTTGGAATAATAAAATATAATTGGTGAATTAATATGTGGCACTTACCCATAACTCTCGTACACCTTCTTTTCTAGAACTCAAAATAAGATGATGGCCAGTGATGCATACGGTTCCATCTACATTTTCGTGATGTGGATATTTTAGAATCACTCCGTCCAATTTGTTTATTAATATAAGCTCAATAAATTCCATTTTACTGTACAAAAGTGGGCAGAATCAGTCATTTGGTTAATTTATCATAGAAATCCATCCCTTTGTAAAATTCATTTGCGAAAATGACAGCTGCAGCAAAAAGCGTCAGGATGACAGCATAGGTATTCAAAATTGCTATACGATTATAATTTTCTTTGAAGATATTTAGTAGAATCGATCGATTATATACAATTGACATCATTGAGCATCACTCAGATCACGAAGCCCTCGCGCTAACATCAGGTAGTATATAAGAGTAAAAGGTACAGAGAATACGTGCGTTGGTAAGTAAAACTGAGATAGAAGCTATAAACAGTGAAATAAAAGAGATAGAAACATGGGTTAGAGTGAGATACAAGTAAATAACGAACGCAAACGCGCTGCCATCTGTTCGCTGTCCAATCATACTAAAGAATAAAGATAGGATTCGTGTGATGGCGATGTGCGGATTTTTGGTGTTATAATTTCTAGATTATAGTAAATACTATTGTTAAATTACGTCTTGTATGAATGGTACATAACATAGTAGACGTTTTTAACAAACACAACTCAATAGCCAAGCGGATTCAGTTTTGGAATAGCGGTGTAGTCAACGCGAGGTACGTCCGTGATGTATTTGTATGCCTGTGTGTATTGAAAGTAGGTAGGTATGTAGCTGGCTGGGTGTCTGAGCTTGGGTAATGACCGGTTCTCTCAATATTTAGATATCTATTGTTAGGATGTAGCGCTCAATTCCTAAGTTCAAAATCTGCCTAATTTATCAACAAGCTAAGCAACAACAGTGCTAAAAATATTAATTGCTTTCTGTCGCAGGTGATGGAGGAGGATACTGAGGCCCGCATGGACACCGGCGTATCGTCCACCACGGATTGTATTCTGGAGGTGCAGGAAATCGCCGCGCCGCACCGAAATGTCGAGACTGTGATCACTGTAGAGGAAGTTAAAGAAGAACTCTCATCACCTAATAAAGACAAAAATAATCAGCATGAAGTGCCTCCAGCAGACGATAGCCAGCCTCCGAAGTCTGCTGAAAAGTCACTACAAAAGGAAGTACCAATCAAAAAGATCATCATAAAGCGTTCTGCAAAACCTTTTCAGTTACAAAACCCTATTCAAAAATCGCCTAATAAATCTGAAGACACACAAAAAATGTTAGGTAATGAGGTACCAATATCACCAAACAAGTCTGTAGAGGCGCCAAACAAATGTTTAGAGTCATCAAATAAATCTGTAGAATCAGTAAACATATCCTTAGCATCTGTGATTTTTAAGGAGTTGGCAGATGTTAAAGATACTGCTGCTAAGTCAGACTCTCAAAAATCTCCATCTAACGATAATTCTAAAACAGTATTGGTTCCTACTATAGCTGAAGTTCCAAAAAGCCCACAAAAAACTCCTATTAAAAATGTTCAGATTTCCACATCAAAGAAAACTCTGCCTAAAACTACACCACCTAAGGAACCTATGCTCAAAGTCACTACAGTCAAAGAGCAGCCTACTAAAATAATTATATCTAAAGATATACCTAAATTAACCCAAGACAAAGATCAAATCAATTGGAGCAGAGTAGATCCTATTAAGATAACACCTGTGAGAGAACAACCTAAATCAACACCAGCAAAGGATGTTTCTGAAAAACCTCTAGAAACCATTGTTTCTGTTAAACTGGATGAAGATCCAAAATCTATTTTATCAATGGACTTGGACAAGGAAGCATCTAACGATTCACAGGTTGACACAAATTCTGATATATCAGAGAAAGAGCATAATAAAAGCATTAGCCGGGAACTTAAGTCACTTATAAAATCTGCTAAAGAATCTAAGATAATTAGTGAATGTAATCAGCTCACCAGTAAGACACGCAAGTCTAGGACACCATTAGACACTTCAATTACCAATTTGAATGCTTCTGTAGAAGCTGATAAGATACAAGGTGCGAGAAGGGGTAGTGACAACTCACAAAAAAGCACCAGCAGTGAAATGTCAGATAAAACCGCTTTCAAAAGATCAATGAGGTCACAGAACCCAGAATTTGTAAGCAAAGTCAAGAATTTCTTGAATTCTGTAACAGGCAAAGTTCAGAAGGAAGGTGAGGCATCAGATGATGAAGTGCAAGAATCAAAAATTAAGAAAGACACTGAATCTTTTAGCTTGCCCAAAAAGAAAAAGGTTGAGGAAGAAGTAAGTATTTCAATATACAAATTGCACATAACTGTAGAATCTTGCTGATAGGGTTGCAAATACCAGCATCCATGGATAATCTGCATACATTAAGATATCTGCATCCACAGATAATCTGCATGAATATCCATACCAACATCCGCATTCATTGATGCTGATATTCATTACGGATGTTGGAGTTGTGACATAACCTAAAAGGCATGCTAGAATAATTTGCAAACCTTCCAGAAACAGACTGTAAGATAAAAAAGCAGCTCAGCTGTTGTTTTTAAAGTAAACTGATAAAAATCCATAAGGATTAAGCCAGGCAGATTGATTGTTTTCATGCAGATTGATTCTTCAAATCATTTACTACATTACAATACCAAAGAAACTATAAAGCTTTTTCATGTAGATAGATTCAGTAAGGATGTACATTTTTCGCGTTTTATTAAATACATAAGACAAAAAATCAGCATCTGCTGATGTGTATAAACCTGCATCAGCAACAACCCTGCTTGCTAATACATTATAGTTGCATATGAAAAAGCATACATGGCAGTTGTCTAAATAAATTTGAATATTAATCTAGCTTATGTTTACAGCTCAGCCTTATGTAGGAGATAGGAATCCTTTCCTATACATGTTTGGTTTAATCTTAGTGTTACGGTCCTAGTTTTTACAAGATGCTTAATTTTTTTTGTCATATCGTTAAAGAAGGTATTTAAAACTTTTTGCTCCTTTCCTTTCTTATACTATAACAAAAGAAAGTTGAAGTATCATTTGACAAAAATGTCAAGTTACACGTATAATAAAAATATCTTGTTCCATTAGTTGTCAAACAAGTTTTTACTGTAGTTGTGCCACTCTGATCATTGGGATGACTCTTTTAGAATGGTTTGTGTATTGGTACAACTGCCAAATTATGTGTATACATGTATATATAGATTTTAACTCTTGTATTTTTATTTATCAGGACCAAGCAAAATTGAGCAAGCCAACTGCAGACCCATACTGTTGGCGATGTCATTACACTGTGGAACTAGCACCTAATGAGAAGGTGCACAATCCTATGCAATGTTCAGTGTGCCCACGGTCATACCACTACAAGTGCCTTAGTGGACCAGAGCGGAATAAAATAAATTTAGAGAAAAATTGGGTCTGCCCCGAATGCCTGTTAATATTACAAGCAGAAAACTCTGAGACTAGGTATGATAATGTATAATTTTCTATAAATTGTTTTTAAACTAGTCATAATTGTCTAACTGCCCAAAGAAGACTTCTACCTTATGTAATAAATAATAAGCAATAATCCTGATCCATTTATTACTTTACTAAATTGCATCCAGATCAAATCTGAATCAACTTTAAAAATATAGTGATTGTCGCTAATCTATGAAATTAATTTATGTGTCTATTGTTTTTTATTTATGTGTTTAATGTATGTAAGTATTTTGTGTAGTAATTTTGAGTAGGATGGATTAATTAATTAATTTTGTTTGTGATTTGCGCAAATGTTTTTTTTAAAGCTTGCGTTAGTAGAATTTGCTTTTCGTTATTGGTATTTGTAATTAAAATTACGAATTGATACGTTTTTTATTAAGGTAAAGTTATGAGCGAAATGTTTATTGTAGTATGGACATGGTTCAGGATGATATTATCCCGAATGGGTTAAATATTAATGTGGAGCACTTCAAGGGCAGAGGAAGACCAAAGTAATCACGGATGGATTGTGTAAAAGGTGATATGTATCTGACGAGACCAAGGAACCAGACGACTGGTGATAGAGATGATTGGAAGACGACGCTTTGGGCCTGTTTCAAGTAGAGGGATAGGACCAAGAGGAGGACAACTTGTTTTGATGATATTTATCGTTCTAGTTATATAATGTTACTATATGGCAATAAGGTTATTCCTAAGCAGAAATTATTAATTTTGTTTTAGAGTTAGTAACAATGAGAATAAGAACCCGGACTAGTGCAGCTTCAGCTCCATTCATGGCGCTCGACGCAAAAATTCCGCCATATTATCCTTTATGACGTCATGCAGAATGGCAATGTGTTGTATTATATGTATATATGTACACAACTAAAATGTTTTCCATTGTTTTGTTTACAAGTGTGTGTGTATTGTGAATTTGAGGTGTTTCTCGTTTTGTATGATTACAGATCTCCAGCAATGAAGAAGATCTCGCTAGGAATGCTTTGTGAACTGTTGAAATACGCTCTGGAAAGGATGATGGATCTGAATGGGGTAAATTCAATTTTTTACTTCTTTGTCAAAATAAGGGTTGTGTGACCAGTTTTATTTTAACTTCTATTGGTTCAAGAGTTACATTTTTGGGGAATCGTGGACATAATTGTGTAATTTGTACTTCCTTAGCTTAAAATATTACAATTGTAAAAATCATAAATATAACTACTACTCCAAACGCCACCGATTATTCTCAGCTAAAGCAAAACAAACCCCATAGAAGCATTACAAAAGGTTTAATAATCTGTTAATAACAGTAAACGGAACAAACAGCGACTTTCACTGCACGAATGTAGGTACCAATTGCGGTGCAGACATATTAAAATGTATGTAGTGGGCCCGTGGCACCGCCGCCGCCAGTCCGCCACCGCCCGCTGCCGTCGGGCCTAGGTGAAATGACCTTGCTACTTATCTACGTAGTGCGCAGTCCCCTATCGCGACGCGTGACGCGTCTCCCTTCTCTTTCCCACCCTACCAATCGATACCGCTGCGTTTATTGCTGTCTTGCTCTGTACTAATAATAAATGTTCACATGTCTACGTCTTTGACGATGTGTGCTGCATTTTTCTTGATTCATCATTTAGTTATGCTTTTCTATTAGCAACTTTATACATTAGAATATATTTCCTAAATATTACTTTCGTAACGTATGTGAGAAAACCTTAAAAAGATTTCGTATATTTCACAAGTAATTATAAATATAATTAAAAGTATCGTTTATATAATATATTCAACTAAACAAAGCGCAAAACGAAATAAGTTTAAATATCTGAAACTTGTGACGCACGACATTCGCAATAAACGGCTTACTTAACAATTTAAAGGCGGTCATCGCACCGCGCAACGCATTGATACACAGAAAACGCGAATTCGATTGAATTGTTATTTTCTTTGCTAAGTATTGTGGTTTTAACATCTGTACTTCATTGAACATTACTAGGCGTATGTTTTTATTGGCAGTAATTGTCTCGTGTTATACAGACAACCTATCAACCTCTTATATTTGTAACTATGCAAACATTATCAATATTTAGCATTAAAATACACCATATTTGTAATTTAATTTGAAATTTATCATGAGATTTTCGGTGAAGTAAAATATCGTGATGAAACCTGCAAGTCGAAGAAAGTTTACAACCTTCGGAAAACGTGTAAAGTCCCTAACCCGCGTCGGGCCAGCGTGGCGAACTATGGCCTAAACCCTCGCCTGTGAGGAGACCCGCGTCCAGCAATGGGACATATAAATAGGGTTGATGATGATAATGTAATTAAGTATATATAGTATGCTTATGCTCTTCGGTG